CTATCGGCATAAAGATTATTAAGGAGGCTACTAAGCAAGAGACCCTAAATGATTGGATTTGGGCAGCAGTAGGGGGAAGGAAAGAAAGGAGACCAACCCCAGAGGGACTTGGGAAGAACAATCAACAGGATATGAGACATGGTGACCAATTATTGTGGGGTGGGGTAGGGCCATGAGAGAGGATCAGGGGACACTACCCAGATTTCTGAGAAGTAACAGAAGTGGGTTTGGATGGCAAAGTGACAGGCCCACCTTTAGTCATGCTGCCTTTGATGGGAATGCTCTGTGAACAGGCCAATTGGTCTGTGGGCCTGGAGCTCCATGGAAATGCTTAGAGAAGCCATGAAGACCAGGAGTTCCTATGGGGTGAACATGCTGGAAATTATGAGTGAGTATGTTACCGAGAAAACATGAGCAGAGTGAGACGAGACTCCCAGGATGGGTGAGGGAAAAGCTCCCACAAAGAATATTCAGTGGAGAGAAAAATGAAAGAGCAGATGGAGGAGCAAGTACTGCTGTGGAATCTTCAAGGAGGGAGTATAAAATGCAGCAGGCACATCAAGTAAGATGACTACAGACAAGTGGCCAACGGTTTGTCTCTAACTTAGAACGCCCTGTGGTCATTCAGGTGTCTATCATTAGATTGTCTGAGGTCACCCAGGTGTCCCTATCATTAGAATGCCTAGTATCAGTGAGGAGTGTCTCCCATTAGAATGCCTGTGGTCGGCCATGAGTCTCTATTTTTAGAATGCATGAGGTCGCCCTGTTGTTTCTACCCTTAGAATTCCAGGGATTGCCCGGGTGTCTCTATCATCAGAATGCCTGGGGTCGGCCAGCAGTCTCTGACCACAGACAAGTGGCTAATGGTTTGGCAGGGGAGTGTTTAGTGACAGTTTCAGAAACATGAAAATGAGATTTCCATGGATTCAGGAGTAAATAAAGAGATGGAGATAAATGTAATCTACTCCTTTGAGAAACTTGATTTTGAAAGAATTTTCTTTTTAATGAATAGTCCAAGGGGAATGTGGAATCAGAGCAGTGTCTTTCTAGTTAACTATGGAAAAGACACAGGTGTATTTATATACTGAGAAAATGAGCTGGTAGAGAAGGAGAAGTAGAATATGTTTATCTTTCGTTTTCCCAGATCCCATCTCTTTTCATCTGTTCTAGCCCCCTTGTCCTCACTTCCATTTTCAGTGGCTCATGATCACCCAACTCGCAGTCCTCACCACAGATGCCCCAGCCTTGCTGACCCTCTGAGGCATGACCTCTCCCTTGACACAGTCTTGGCTGTTTATCCTTACCGCCATCAACCACAATTTCAGTAAGAGATGCTGCTGATGCCACTTCATCCCAATCCTGTCCCTTCATGTTCCTTAAGATTCCCAGGGTTGGCCAAGTTCTCTGGAGATCACTTGACTCCCAGGCTCTTTGATGTCCATTTTCCCAGAAACCACCATGCACCTGCAGTGGGCAATGGCCCCGAGGGGCATACACCCTGCACTGGCCCCACTGAGCACCTTCTGCAGCTGACAAAAGTGAATCCAGAACCTCACGTGCCTGCTAATTTACAACCACTCCAGCCTGATGCTCTTCTTGTACCCTTTTGCTGAACCCAACCAAATAAAGGCAGAAGTTCTTTCAGATTGCCTAGTTCTTTGCTCTTGCAGGTCCACAGAGAAATCTGATGAGCCACCAGGATTCCGTTGCCAGCGCTGGAGAAGAGTAAAGCCAGCCTGGGGAGACAGATAGCAGGTGGGGCACAGTACGCAAAGCAGCCCCTCTCTGAGAGCACATCTAACCAAACACTCCATCCCTGAACGTCACCTTCAGCTCTCAGGCCCCACTTGGGGGCTCTGAAGGTGGGCTGTAGACAGATGTGAATCTCAGGGGACAATTAAGGGTGTGAATAGGAGAGTTTCTGTTTCCAGTTCCAGACAATGATGAACACAGTGTCATCGGACCCCAGCTCATGAGTCAAACTGCCCGCTTCACAGCGATGCCTGAGGGAATGGGCACAGCAAATGCATTTACCTTGATGCGGTGGTCCCATGGACTACCCAAAGGGGAAGGTGCTGGGGGACAGGTGCTGTCTGCCTCCACTTACACCTCCCCTTGGGCATGACCTCCCCTGCATGGGGACACATAGCCCTGCTCTCACCTGGAAGATCCACACCTGCAGATCTGCCTCATCTGCCCCTTCTCTCACCATCTCCAGGAACTAGGATGGCTATCAAATTTGCCACAGTGTATTTTCATACAGAATGACAGAGAAGGATCTCCCTGCATCGTGGGTAGCTAGTTGTGCCATGTCCTACCACATCTCCGCTGAGCACAGGAACGTATAAACACACTTTAAAACATGTGTATGGGCCAGGGCTGGTGGCTCATGTCTGTAATCCCAGCACTTTGGGAGGCGGATTGCTTGAGGCCAGGAGTTCAAGACTAGCCTGGCCAACATGGTGAAACCCTGTTTCTACTAAAAACACAAAAAATTAGCCAGGCATGATGGCGCATGCCTGTAGTCCCAGCTAATCAGGAGACTGAGGCAGGAGAATCACTTGAACCCGGGAGCTGGAGGTTGCAGTGAGTCGAGATCGTGCCACTGCACTATAGCATGGGCAACAGAGTGAGACTCCATCTCAACAAAACAAAACAAAACATGTGTATGATCCACCCTGTGATGTGCTTCATATCCCAGACCCAGTTGACCAGACCCACTTTCCGTCTCCTCTCCAAGCACCCACCAAACCAAGACACGCACACTGAGCTATCATCTTGCAATGAATTTCCGCAGGTCCCCCAGCTGCCTTTTGGGGCACGGCCACTTTCAATGAAAAAGAAAAGCCAGAAGTTGTGCTTCTGCTGAGATCCTTGCAGCCTCCTTACAGCTAAGTGTTGCCTGACTGGGACTCATCTCTGATATCAGGGCATCATGCAGCCAAGCCTGCCACAGCATGGACTTCCATGTTCAGGTCAGGATGGTGGATGGCTAACACAGGGCCTTCTGGAAGCATTCTGCCAGCCCAAGTACACTTCACAGCTTTGATAACATTCTACAGGATACCAAGAAAGTTTATGAGGAAGTGCTAGCGACGTCACAATCTACGACTGACTCCCTATGAGAGCACTGCCAAGAGAAGTAGTCACTGAAACCCACGTGAGGAGCATCCTAAATTAAAACATTTTATAACCTTGCCCATCTCAAGAAACACAGGCCCAGCCTAATACTCCATAAGGAAGGTGGCCTTGCTGAAGGCATAGTCTTTATGCCATCTATACTCCTGATCTTGTTTTCCCTTTTCCTTGTTCTCCATCTCCTACTTCGCAATCCACCTTGGTTTCCAACACTTATCTCAACCTTCCATTTCCTTGACAACTATTCTTGGACACACTTTTCTGTCTCAGGCTTGTATTTCCTTCAAGATACAGCAATGGGCCAGGAGTGGTGGCTCATGCCTATAATCCCAGCACTTTAGGAGGCTGAGCAGGACAGATATTGGAGCCCAGGAGTTCGAGACCAACTTGGGCAACGTAGAAAAAAACCCCATCTCTACCAAAAAAAAAAAAAATACAGTAATTCCAGGTATGTTGGGGTGCCCCTGTGGTCCCAGCTACTTGTGAGGCTGAGGTGAGGGATCACTTGAGCCTGAGAGTTCAAAGCTGCAGTGAGCTGTGACGGCTCTACTGCAGTCCAGCCTGAACAACAGAATGAGACCACGTCTTTAAAAAAAAAAAAAAGACACAGCTGTGGCATTTATGGTCTCTGAACCCTACAAAGGGACTGTAAGCAATTGGCACCCCACTCCTATGGTCTACTTTCTTTCCCAGACCTAGCTGACCAGACCCACTTTCTTCCCCCGCCCCCTTCTCCCCCACTTCCACCACACCCCCACCCCCCACCACCAAGACAGAGTCTTGCTCTGTCACCCAAGCTGGAGTGCAGTGGTGCAATCTTGGCTCGCTACAACCTCCACCTCCCAGGTTCAAGCAATTCTCCTGCCTCAGTCTCCCAAGTAGCTGGGACTACAGGTGTGCCCCACCACACCCAGCTAATTTTTGTATTTTTAGTAGAGACAGGGTTTCACCATGTTGGCCATCAGGCCCAGGTAATTTTTGTATTTTTAGTAAAGGCAGGGTTTCACCATGTTGGTCAGGCTAGTCTCAAACTCCTGACCTCATGATCTGCCCACCTTGGCCTCTCAAAGTGCTGGGATTACAGGCGTGAGCCACCACACCCAGCCCAGACCCACTTTCCATATCCTCCCAGGAAATAAGGTAAGACAATACAAGGACCTGCAGATGCTACTCAACAGAGACCCATGAGCACAGAGGTCATCTATTTACAGTATTTATCTACCTTTATCACACCTCACCCCACCTTTACCTGCCCCCAGAAGGCTTCATGTTACACCTTTAAACCTGTGCCCACCTCTTAGTGGTAGAAGTCCACATACATTTAAGTGGGAATTTCAAGTTCTGGACCGGAGTTTACCAACAGAAATTTCTGTAATGACGTTCTATATCTGTACATTGCAATATGTTAGCCACTGGCCACATATGGGTACTGTGCACTTGATATGTGGCTGATGTGACTGAGGAACTGAATTGTTAATGTTATTTCATTCTAATTAATTTAAATTGAAATAGCCATATATGGCTAGCGGCCAACATATTGGACAGTGCAGCTCTAGACAATTCCAGCCAAGCAGACCCTAGAACCAGGGTAAAAAAACTAAGTTTCAGAACGATGGGAGCAGGCTTTCCAGGAGAGGACCAGGTACCTTGTCCCTAAGCCTTGAATGGGGCCACTGCCCTCTCCAAAAGGAAGCAAGCCAGGATGGGCAGAGGCAGCTGAATGTGAGTTTGAGGACGAGGCAGTGTTAAGACAGAATCTAATGGGGTCATAATGGGGGATGATAATGAAGCATAAGGAGAGGTAGAGATGGAGGTGGAAGAGGGAAAGGAAGCAGATTGACTTAGTACTAGCACCAATCTTGGCAAGCTCTAAAACCTTTATTACACCCTTTTCCCCTTCCCCCCTTTATTGCCACATCCAATGAAAGAATCATTACATATCTTCTAATGCAATCCCCTCATTCCACAGATGCATAAACTGAGGCCCAGAGAGGTGACCGGGCTGTCCAGTCATATGCTGAATCTGTAGCAGGATCAAGATCAGACTGTGTCCTCCCCACTCTCAAGCCCGTGTGTCCTCTCCCACGCTTAACCAGCTCCACTAAAGGAAGGCAGGGCTGCGGAAGGAGAACTGCAGGTAGACAGCGAGCAGGCAGAGAGAGGCCCAGAAGAGGCACCAACGAAGAGACAAGAAATTATAACCGGATCCTGCCTGGGCCCTCGGCTTGGAGGCTTCAGAGAAGGTGTAGGCGGTCGCCTCCTCCTCCAGCAGCTTCTCGCTGGGCTTCCAGTGCACGATGCCCTCCTGGCAGGCTTCGCAGAACTCTGTACGATGTGGCCCGCTGTCCGGGCGGCTGGCCACGTGGATGCGGTACTGTCCACCGTCCTCGTCGTAGCACTGCTCGCGCAGGCTGGTGATGAGGTTGTCCACTAGGCCCTCGATGTTCTCCTCCAGCATGCTGGACTCGTCCTGCCTCGCCGTGCCGCACTCATAGCACAGCTGCTTGAAGACACGCATGCGCACCGAGCCCATCCGCCGGGCACGGTCCAGATGCATATGAAAGAGGATGACCACGTGGGCAGACTGCCAGGTGTGCCAGCACCAGGAGCAATGGAACCTGCCGGGAGGAGAAGGAGGGGTGGAGAAGGTGGGCCTCCCAGAGACAGCCCGCCCTGAGGAGCTCTGAGGGGGGAAAAAGGCCTGTGTGCCTGTGCTTGGAGATGGAGGCAGAGTGTTTACTGCCCTGTGGATTCATTAGCACTCCAAGGCCTGCCTGCTATCGCCTCCTCCTGGGTGAGCACCCCTGGGACCCAAGCAGCATCCTCAGGAGCCAGTGCCCAAGCCATCTGGCACCCAGCAGTGCTCTAGAGCGTGCCTCCTGCGGTCTCAGCTACCCCCGAGCCCAATGCACTCAGGTCTTGCACCTGGGCGCTGTGCAGGGTCATTCCCCTTCTCTGGGCTTCATTTCTCATGTGTGAAATGAAGTATATTGGCGTTCAATAAGGGTCCTTCCTCTGTGACCTCCTGCAACTCTAATAAGAAGGATGACATACACCACCTAACTCACGCATCTTGCGTACTCTGGGGAGAAGAGACGCCTCTACTTGTGCCAAGCACAGACCCTGGCACACTGTAGGTGCTCAGTATGCCACTGAGAATGACGGGATGGGTAGGATCAACTGGCTTTGGGAGGAACTACCAAGTTTAGTTACTACATCTTCACAAAGAACGCTCCCCAGTCTCTTGACAAGTCATCTCTAGATCCCCCTCTAGCCCTGCAGTGGGGACTGGAAAAGTGGGTACTCATTCCCATTGCCACTCCTCACACACACAGACACACACACACATGCTTTGTCTCTCTCTCTTACATGCACACAGGCCACTTGGCCTAACCTGGGTTTTCTGGAGTCCCAGCCTCAGGAAGTGTGGTGGGTGGTAGCCTGGGGCTCATCTAGGCCAGCCCCACTCATTCCACCCCACCACTGCCTGCACACTTCAGTGATGCACCTCCTTACCTCCAGGGCAGTTCTTTCCTTCCCTGAGATGAGCCTCCTCCAGGCCTCTGTTCCAGAGGCTTCACGGGCGGTCCATCCACTGAGGTGACCCTGCCCTCATCACTGGCCCTTTCTGGATCCATTGTATGATGGCCTTGAAGGACTTCTGTTGAGGAACTCAATTCAATCCAACAGACACCACTCAACACCTACCATATGCCAAACACCACTCAACCCAGGCTGTGGGATAGAGACGAGGCCAAGCCAGTCCCTGACCCTTGAAAGCCTGATCACATGAGCATAGAACAGTACCCAGAATGGCCCAAGTCGGGGTTGGCAGGTCAGAGGAACCTAGTTGGTACTGAACCAGGAGAGGTTACCCCGCCCCCAATGCTGGGCGAGAGCTGCAGGGCATCTGACTGTTTAGAGACAGTAAACCTGTGCACAAATAAGCTCATGGGCAACAGTTCTTCAGCCCTTCCTGAGGCCAGCTGGGAGCCACAAGTCACCAGCCAGGAGTAAGAGGAGGTTATCCCTGAGGCAAGAGGAGACATAAGTTTGCTGAGCTCAGCCCCTAAACTCTGGATCCCAGGCACTCAAGTTTCCAGGCCTCTGCCATCTCTCCCAGCAGGCAGTTCAAATGCTTTATGTTTTCAGTCTCCTTCTACACCTTTTTACATCAAGCCAACCCAGAGTTGCTTCACCTCCATCAAACCAGGCCTCACATCTTAAATTCAAAAATATCAGATCTGGGGACAGGGGAGCTTAAGAAGCATCTAGTCAGCCCTTTATTTCACTGAGGAGAGACTGATGCACAGATAGTAAGAGAGGCATCCATGTACACACAGGTAGTTAGAGGCAGAGCCAGTGCCCAGCACATAATAGGTACCCAACAGATGCTTCTTGAATTGATGGAACTGACATGAATCAGCCAACCTCTGGCTTTCTGTGTGTTTTTTTTGGTCCACAAGCCAGGTTTACTCCAATAATTCCAGGTCTTGGGGCAAAAGTACAAATGTGAGCTCCCTACCCACATCTTGCCTCCTCTGTTCCCATCCTCAGCACCATTCTGTACCACGAGAAGCTTCAAACACATACACGTGTGAACAGCCCAGCCTTTGTGTCCGTGTTCTGGCTACATCTCCAAAGCACAGTCACCTATTGGCCTCTCTTGAATCAAAGGACACAGGAAAAAGTCCTGCACAGACCCTATAGATGGCCTTTTAGATCATGATTTGGAACTGGGACTACAGAAATCCCTGCCCAAACTACCACAAGACTTGAGGGATTTCTGTAGTCCCAGTCCCAAATCATGATCTAAAAGGAGGAAAGGCATGTGGACTTTAGACGGCCTTGTCCCCTTGGCCTCAAGGACTCTTTGCACTGAGCTGGATGTGCAGTTCCTATAAAGAGTGGGACCATGGGCTCTAAGTTCCTAAAGAAGGTTTTGCTCAGAGTTAAATCTTTTTATCACAGGTACATAGATAATAGAGCTAGAGTGGGTAGGATCGATGATCTAAGACCAACCCCCTCATTTTGTAAATATAAAAACTGAGAGCCAGAAAGGGAAACAGACTTGCCAAGTTTACAGGGCTACTTAGCTATAAAGAGGCAGTTCATAGCACATAGCAGGTGGTCAATAAATATTTCTGTATTCAGATCAATTTGGATTAATTCACTAAACATATCTAGGACCAGAGCATAGCTGCATCCCCCACAACCCCCCAACTTCTAGGTTAAGGCTTTCCCCAATGGAACTCATAGCTTCTTTCCTTTAGTTCCAACTCGCTCTTTAAATGTCAGAGATTGCAAGGATGTAGAAGATATTACAGCTCTTCATTTAATGTGGACAACTAAGACCAAAAGATAGACCATAACTTGCTCAGGGTCACCCAGGGAGTCAGTGGTATTGCTAGGATTCAAACCAAGACCTCTGTGACCCAGCCGGCTGTTCTTTGTCTTTTTCCCCCATCTGAGCCGACACCAGAATGAGCCTGCCCCAGGGACGGGCTCTATCTCTCCTTGGAAAGTACCCCACAGCTGTGACCCATGGGCTGTCTTCAAGGTCCCTCCCCACTGAGCCTCTCACCTGCCTGAGGCATGCTGCTCCACATACTGCTTCCAGCCAGGGGCTAGCTCACTGGGCTTGAGGTTGGGGTCTATGATGAGCTCCCAACTGTCTGCTGGCTTTGCCACCTCCATCTTCTCATAGAAGACTTTCTTCCACTCACAAGTGGTCAAGCTGGTACACATGGTCCTGCTGGCAGAGGTGGCAGTTCGAGCTCAGCCCTGGTGAGAACACAGAAACAGCACAATTAGGTGCGTGACAATTCAGTGTCTACGATCTGAGAATCCTTATTGGCAGGACTGGGAGGAAACAGGACCCAGCTCCCTCCTTTGTTACCCTGGAACCTGTTACCATGGTAGCCAGGAAGGGCACCAAGAGGGAGGGCTGGGGAGAAGGGAAGCCCCAAGGGGGAGTTTCAGGGCCCTGAGCTAGGCTTGAGAGGCAGTGCTGGGTAGGACTGAGAGGAGCAAGCATGGTGGGAGGCCCAACCTCAGACCACACTCACTGGGGTTTCCAGAGGTCTCCAGGAGGCAAGGATATTTGGTGGCCCTGCTTCACCCAACTGCTCTTCTAGCATTCTCCACATCATGCGCTATAGTAACTATGACACCCTAGGAAGTCAAAGAGAAATGAGGGACTGGGAAAGGCAGAGCCTGCTGCTACCACACTCCCTGATGTGCTGTGACCATCACTTACTGTGTGTCTAGCACAAACTGCTTGACCTGTGTGCTGGCCAAGGCAGATCAGATCAGGAAACTGAAGTTTATGGAACCCCTAAGTGACTCATCCAAGATTCAGATCTAGGCCTTCTGAAACCAAGCTCATCTGTTTATTTATTTTAGTGCTATTGTGCTCCTAACAGGGAATTGAGTGAGAAGTAACATCTCTTTGTCGAGGGCAATCTCAGACCAGTTGGTGAGCTAGAATGTAATTTCACATGCCATGAAAAACACAGTAATAACATTTCAGATTCATAGCACCATAGAACTGTTAGAGCCCATATTCAGTTCCTGGTCCCAAGCCAGGCTAAGGCTGCTACTGGAGGAGTGAGTTTGTTCTGTGCTGCAGGCTCCTGCTGCCTCCATTGCTGCTAAGCTGGAGCAAGAGAGCATCCATAGCTCTGTGATGCCCAATTTAAATTCTTTAGAGACTAGAGGGGAATTTGATTTCAAATTTGGTAATCCAGGTGAAGACATGGTCACCTGAAGGGAGGTAGCCTTGAGCATGGAAAAGACCAGGCATGTGGCTGCTTACTCTAGCTTTGGTCCAACTTCCAGCTGTAATCATCTTATAATTCTTTAACCCGGAAATCTGGATCCCTGGACATGTGGAGTTTCAACAGTAAACAGCATCAAGAAATGAAATAGGTTGCTAAGAGCCAGAAGCTCTTGGTGTTGAGTTGCCAAGTGGTTTTCCGGAAGGGTGAGGTCAGGGGCAATGTCACTGGATTCTCTCTTGAAATGAAAACGTGTTACTCTAGTGGCTTCGTGCTAAAGACCTCAGAAAGGACACAATTGTCTTAGAACCATTGACTGGTAGCTCTAGAAGAGCTCTTTTATTTTTAAAAATCTGATTTGTTTCTTCAACTCTTCATTTCTTAACCAAAATTTCTTGACATTGAATTAAGACAACTGAGGCCTAGAAATGGAAAATTACTGGCCCAAGCTCTCAGGACTGGGTAGCTCAAACCTCACAGGGGATTCCCTCAGAAGCCAGTTACCAGACCAGGTGAGACAGAGGGATCCATGAATGGCCAGGAATTGAATGAAGCTGAGATGAGCTTATGGCCTGGCCTAGACCCTTGTGCCAGGAATGAACTTCTGAGAAATATTATACCCTTGTTCCCAGAACAAATGGCAACAAAGGAAAAACAGAAAGAGGATGAGAATTGTCAGGGTTTACCTGTTGTGTGTGTGTGTGTGTTTTTTTTTTTCCTCAAATGATGCAATCCCCTTAGGCCTAGTGTCAGGTTTAATTTAGCATAGCAGCTCTCTAAGCAGAGAGCAATATAATTCACCTTTCTGTATAACAGCACCGTTTTCACTTTTCATACAATCGGTGAGCACAATTACTACTTCAATTTTCTGCGAATGGCACTATGTTATTCCAGATCCCACGATTTAAGAGCTTACCAATGTATATTGCGTACAGCTGTGGCCACATCACACTCTGGCAACTTCATTATACATCTTTTATCTAGGTAGTACTTTTTCAAATAAAGAAATTGTTATTTCTTTATAAAATAAAATACTGTGCACCTGTATTCTGCAAACAAATCAGCAAGGGGGAGAGGATGGATAAAAGAATGACTTCTCCCCTTCAATTTGGAGTGCAGGTTAATGAAGAGCTTTGTAAAATATTTATTATTCAAATTTTACTTATTAGAGTAATGTCAGAAATGCCAGTGTGGAGCCTAAAATGACAAAGTAATGAAGAGTTGAAAAGGTGTGTACATCAAAATCATCTAGGGAGTTTTGAAAACGATATATACCTCTGCCTCAGAGATTTCAATACATGTTCTTGAGGAGACAAATTTGCTCTCCACCTGCTCCAGTCCTGGGAAGGATCTCTTCTATTGCCAGCCATTGTTACTGATGTGATATGTTGTCCCACAGGCTACTGGAGGCCAAAAATGGAAAACAAAAAAAGAAGATTGAGTAAAATGAGCAAGTGGTTTCTAATATGCCTTTCCCAGGAAATAGATCCAGGACAAATGCAAGCTGTGTCCTATCTTCTCCTGTCTCTCTGCAATTCAAAGAACCATAGACGATGCTATAGGGCGAATCCAAGATCCCCTGGGGAGTATTTTCAAGCGATGTTAGGAAGGCCTCTCCATCCCCAGGTTGTAGCACTTGGCGAGAGCATGGTCCAAGCTCGCACTCTTTGGGTGGGAGCTGATCTCTGAATCTCAGGGGAGGCCACACAGAGCAGTCTGTGGCTCTCTAATAGTGGCGCATAGTGTAGAAACAACATCCCAGGAAGACTTCACGCTGCCCTTTTATTAACTGGCAGCAACCAGAGCAACTGCAGGCAGGTGACGTTCTGTTTCTGCTGATGTCCAAGGCTCCAAATTCTACGCGCTGTGCTTCCCAGTACCCCAAAGGCTCTGGAGTCTGTGTTAAGAGCAGCCATATCTACTTACCTTTTTTCAGGGCCTTATTATCCTACGTAGAGATTTGCTGCAGAATTATCACAGTATTTATGGGATGTAAATAAATAAAAAAACAGATGCAAATAGGGTGTACTCCATGCAAGGGAGAAAAATAAAAGAGATGGGGGTTGAGTTAGGAAGGAAGAATTTAGAGGGTCTGGGGACACTTTCAGCGGGTACAGCCTATGCTGCTTCTGTCCAAGAGGCTGAGGGCCTTCTTCAGAGTTCCTTAGCTATACTCAGAGAACCTGCTAGTTGCTACTGAGCTGAGGCTCAACACACACAAAAATAGCCATGACTCCTCTCTGGGACACTCCCAGCCATCAAGGCAGGGGGAAAAGGGAGCATGGGATAGATTATGCCAGCTTTTAAAGCATCCATTCTAAAAATGACAGTGCTGGGGTCAATATCCTGGGCAGATCTTTAAAAATATGTCTCTTTCCTTTTAAACCCACATTTACCCAGGAGAACGTGTGTAGTTTCAGGGCTTTCCAGGAGACACCAATTCACACAAGGAAAGGACCCATTAAAGCTGAGTCCCTTCCTGAGGCAAGTCTTTCACTATAAATAGAACTAATTTTACCTTGAGTGTCTATCTTTAGGAACCAGGTCACCTTCCAAATACTGATGGGGATTTCTCGATGAGCAGTCAGAAAGGCTGTTTGGCCCCAACACTGAGCTCAGTTAACTTCCTTGGAGACTTTCCACGTGCAGAATTGACTGTGTACTTCAATTTATATGGGAGTGCGGAGGGAAAGGACTAATACACTCATTAGTATTGTATTTACCCTTAAGACTGGATACTGACTTCCCTTTTTTCCTTATCCAAAAATTAAGATAAAAGTGTTCAAGTACATAAAATTGGACAAACATTACATAGATATTACATAAACAGGCAGTTAAAAGCCCCCAGTAAAGATTTAAACAGACCACTTAGCTCTGACATTGGAATCAGAAGATACGCAGTCGATAGGAGTCACAGGCCCAAAATGATCAGGCTTTGCTTAGAGTTAAGTTAAATATGCTAGAAACACTTCAATTTATTTCCCCAGTTGTCAAGCAATTGGAAAGAGCAGATCTACATACTATAAAAATGTTTCTCACTCCCAAGGATAAGGCAGGCAGGTTTAATAGTAAAACAAAGCATATGAGTTGCAGATCTTACACGAGATGTAAAACAAAGATGTTAAACGAAGACGTTTTACATGAGATGTAAAACAAAGCATATGAGATGAAGATCTGTATATTTCTCAGGAAATTTGAGCTTTCTTGATATATGCTTATAGACGCTATAGTTAGAAAGCTATGTTTCTTGCAAAGTCCCAAGGTGAATGTAAGAAAAGCTTGGAAAGAGAGAACGCTGCAAGAAAATCCACTGACAAGAATAAAAATAATTTTAAAAGAGAAAGATCCATTGTTAGTGAAACAAGAAAATGGCCGCAACTACAAGCCAGAACATCTAACAATTATAGTTAAATTTAGATATAGAGTGGGAGCACATGAAGTACCAATGCATGCCTCACTTCATCTCACACAGACTGAATATTTCTTTTCTTTTTTTCTTTGTTCTTGGGACAGACTCTTACTATGTCACACAAGCTGGAGTGCAATGGCATGATCTCAGCTCACTGCAACCTCCACCTCCTGAGTTCAAGTGATTCTCCTGCCTCAGCCTCCTGAGCAGCAGGGATCACAGATGCGCACCACCACACCTGGCTAATTTTTGTATTTTTAGTAAAGATGGGGTTTCGCCATGTTGGCCAGGCTGGTCTCGAACTCCTGACGTTGTGATCCACCCACGTTGGCCTCCCCAAGTGCTGGGATTACAGGCGTGAGCCACTGAGTCTGGCCAGAGTGAGTATTTCTTTAAACATGACCCACCCCAGTAACAATGAACACACCTACCATGCACATCTGGGTTCCTAATACCGTTCTCCAATTAAAACAGCAGCAGCAAACTAGGTCTTCTTGAAAAAATTAGATGAAGCCTCATTCATTCCTATGTCTGGAGGTTGATGCTGCCTGTGAGATGGGACCACAGCTAGGGCTATAGGCCAAAACATCTACACATGGCCTTTCTATGGAGCCTGGGCTTCCTCACAGGATGCTGGCTGAGTTCCAAGGGCTGGTGTCCCCAAAGAATCAGGCAGAAGCTGTGTCTCCTTTCATGAGCTACCCTCAAAAGTCACAAAGCAACACTTTCACCATTGCCCAGATTCAAGGTAAAGGAACATAGACCCCACATTTGGAGAGGAGGAAGGTCAAAGCTATGTTGTAAGAAGAAGATGCAAGTCGGGAGGTACCGTTGTGACGGTCTTTGGAAAACATGCGTTATCACAGCAGGTAGGGAAGTCAATAAGCCTTCCACAGAAGGAGTGTTATGTGAACAAACCCTTACAGGATGAGCAATTGGCAGCTAAATAAATTTTTTTAAAGGGGTGCTTTTCCCTAAGGAGGGGAAAGC